AGGGAACGCAGGAGGGGAACCCAGAAAAGGGACTCAGGAGATAACCCAAGAAGGGGCACTTGGTTCCCCCCACGGAACCACAACAATATCCACAACGGAACCAACAATTTCTCGGATGTCGTCCGTGCGAACGGAAAAAAATAATAATATAACAAACGGCAACGGGATGACACGGAGGCAACTGGTCATGGCCGAGACGCATCAATTTTTGGGATGCCCCTCTCTACCGCATGGACGCTCAGGACCGAAGGCGGCGGCAGCGACGCCACGCAGGCAACCGCCAGTTGGGGAACCAAAAAAAGGGTCCCCTGCAAACCGCCCGCAAACAACGCCACTTAGCTGCACGCGTTCGGTCGCGCACATTGGGGTGCTGGAAGCCAGCTGCTTGAATGAAAGCGCACGGGCCCTGTGGTGCACGCAGGCGCTGCGGTGTGTGGGGGGTTTTGTGGTACAAGGAAGCACTGAGTGTAACAGTGGTATTGCGGTGCGCACGGCCGTTGCGAGATGCGACGCTCGTTGTGGCGTCGACGTCTCTCAGGTGCACTTGGCTGCTGCCGTGTAAGCGGGCGCAAGGGACCGTTCGTGCAGCAGTGTGCGTTGTGCGGCATTTCTCAGATCGTAGCTGTTTTGGGCTCAAGATCAGCAGCGCGTTTGCGCCCTCTGGCTAACTTGCCGCGTCGCTCCAGGGCGTGACATGTCCGCGTGCGAGGACTGAAGACGGCGACCGAGGGTTGGTTCTGCCGCACTCTGCATGCCCCCATGGTGACAGCCGTTCTCGCCAGGGGCGAACTGGAGCCACTCCTTGAACTCACCAACGACGTCGGGGAGAACGAGAACCCTCTCGTTCCCTACATGGATTTCAGCACTGGCTACGCAGACCCGACCCCCCCCCGAACTGGACGAGAAAAAATACAAGGCGGCGTGGAAAGACGACGACTGCCGCCAGCTCCCACCGCCGTTCGGCTTCAAGTCGGCGCCGCCAAGCCACGCGGCCATGCAGATGCGCATCTTCGGCGGCCCCGACGGCGCGAAGAACATCATCAAGCATTGCATAGGGCCCAACAAGGCGAAGGCTGCCACGTTCGCCAGCGCGGCGTTCGGGGGCGCGAAGAAGCTCGCGCTCCAGCGCCCCAAGGTGCGCGACCAAACGAAAAAGGCGAAGGCGTCGCGGCTCAGGGTTGGGATGTTTCCCGCGCCCAGGGAAACTGACAACCTGCTCGGTCGCCGCTGCGCCCCAGCACTTTCTCGTTCGGTCGCGCAAGGTGGGGGCCAAGGTCTGGCAGTGCGCCTTCGAGCGCTTTGGCGGGAAACAATTTCGTTTTTTTCATGGCCGCCCGACGTCAAGACGGCTGCCGAAGCGAACGAAGTCTACGAGCTCTCGGACGAGGATATCAACGCGGGCTTCGACTACATCCTGAAGAACGCGCCTCGATCCACGGACGATCTCAAGCAGCTGGCATGGCAGACGAAGGCGCTGCGCAAAGGCGCCCCCCTCCACGGCTGGCCCGTCGCCCTGGTTGCGAAGGCTCTGAGCGGCCTCGCGTCGGAGGGCGCGCATGCGAAGAAGGAGTTCGAATGGCGCATCACTCTGACGGAGGAGCACTTCAAGCCGCGGGTGCTCAACGCGGTGGCGGAGATCATGGGCCCGCTCGGCTCCCTCGTGCTTATTGGAGAGCCGACTCTCGGGAAGACGCCCCTGGGCCGCTCGTATCTCTTCGCGCTCTGCCGCCGAAACGCCCGCGTCCACGGGTTGGGCCCCGCGATCGCGGGCGCCCGCGTGACTCCCGAGATCGACTTCTTGCGGGGGGGGGCCCGGTCCTCTCGCCATGGGCGACTTCTTGGATGATGGATCCCGCAACCAACTGCCGTCTGAAATGGTCAAGGCACTGCTGGGCGTCGGCCAGTTCGAGTCCATGCGCCGGGCGCGTTGGGGGGCCACCGAGTGGGTCAAGGGCGAGCCGCGCGCCACTGGTGACCAGATATACGACCCCAGTGCGGTGAAGAATGGCAGTTGGCCTTCCGTGAAGTTCGACGACTTCTTCAACCTCGTCAGACCAGCCTTCCACGAGAAGGCCCCCCGCGCTTGCGTCGCGGCGTTCATGAAGCGCGGGGGGGGGCCCGGTGAACGCGAAGGATCACGCGCACTGGCGCGCCCCAGGGACCCAGGAGGCCGACGCCCAGCGCAAGTCGATCTGCGGCCTTGACTAGTACTTAACCGCAGAGGGCACGCGGCTGCACGGGCTGTGGAAGACGGGAGATCTCACGGCGCCGCCACACATTGAAGAGTTGTTGCAGAAGGGGCAGACCTTCGTGGACAACGTTTTCGAAGCCAGGGCAAAGGCGACGGCCGCCCCTCCGCGCGCCCAGATCACGGCGAAGCGGGGGGAAGTGGAGTCTCCCGAGACAAGGAGGTCCAGGACGTTGGCTTCCTTCTCGGGGACGCTCGACATCGACAGCTCACCTTCCCCCGCGAAGCGGCAGGCTGCGGCGGCGTCTTCGTCGCCTGCCCCCGCCGTCCCAGCCCGCGGCGAGCTCGAGGCCGACCTCTCGCAGATGTTGGGCGCAGATGGCGTTGGCCCTGACATGGGCGAGGAGGCGGACGCAGCAAACTTCCTCGGGGCGACCCCTTTTGTGAGCGGACGGCCGCGCTCGCGCCCGGATGGGGTCGAATGCCGCCGCGCCCCAGGTGGGCCCTCAGCGCACCTCAGCAGCTCGCTTATGAACATATCGGTTCTGGACTCACACGCGCGCACCCATGCATTTGCCCAATCGTTTTGGCCCCCTGTTCCGTCGTCGCTGTCGTCGTCGTCGTCATCGTCGCCGCCGACGTCGCCGTCGCGCTGGTTGCTGCCCCTCTTGCTTCGCCCTCGCCCTCCCCGCCTGCTCGCGCATCCATGGACATGTTCGAACCAGCCGCCGCTGCCGCCATTGCCGGCGGCTGTTATGCGCAGCGCCCGCGCGCCGTTGCAAGTGCGATTGCCCGCGGCATTTTGGGCTCACCTGTTTGAGAATCCATGTCCCCCACCACCTCCCGCCGCCCCTGGGCGCGACGCGCGCTGCCGCCATGGGAAAAGGCCCCAGTCCAAGCGCAGGGGCGCGCGCAGGGCGGGCAAGGAGGCGCCGCGCAAGAGGCCCGCCGCCGCGCCCGCCATGCGGAAGCCGTCCGCAGCCCCCATGCAGACGCCGCCCGCGGCCCCCAAGAAGAAGGCGTCCAACGTGCCCTACTTGCCGCCGGCGGTGCTGGAGGGTAGTCGCTTGGCGTCGACCTCGCACAAGAGCAAACTTTTCTCCGTGGAGATGCCCTCGCTTGCCGAGTGGCGGTGATGAGCGACGCGGACGTGGACCGTGCTTTGCGCGAGGCTGGGTGCATCCCGCCCAAGACCGACCGCGCATGCTGGAAGTGCGGAAACGACATGGTTGAGCAGGAGAACGGCGACTTCAGATGCTGGGTCAAATCGCGCCGTTGCACCATGAGCGCGCGGGCATTTACGCCGCTGCTGAACACGAGCCTGACGACCGCGGACTACTACAGCTGCATCTGGGCGACTGGTTGCGGGCTTGACCAGGCGCAGACTCACCGCGTGACTGGCGTGTCCAGGAAGAAGGTCGAGTTGCTCATGCCGCGCGTCGCGGAGGCCGCTGCGTGGGAGTCTATGCAAGCTGCCGACAACTTCGAGCATTCCACTGGCGATGTGGAGATGGGCGCATTCGCCTGCTCGGTCCGCCGCGCCGGCAGCGCCGCCCAGAACGTGCGCGCGGGCCGCGGGGTCATGGTTGTGGATCGCGCGACTGGCACGCGCGTGGTCTTCCCTGCGAAGGGCGCGGCCGTGCAGAAGGGCGCGCCGCCTCCGCCCGAGGGCGCCGAGGACGTCGCCCCTGCCATGGCGAGGATTGGTCGGGAGCGCGGCCTGCTTAACACCGATGGCGCGCAGATCTACAGGAAGAAGGCAAAGGCCGCTGGCACCCTGCACACCGGGACCAAGCACAGCGCTAAGCAGTTCGCCAAGACCAAGACGATCGGGATCAAGAGCTTGGGGGCGGTCTTGACCAAGATGGCCGCCAAGCGCCATGCGCAGATGAGGAAGAACAAGAGGAACTTCACGGCCGCCAAGTGCGCCAAGGGCCCCATGAAGAGCAAGAAGGGCCCCATGAAGACCGCGAAAAGCTCCGAGGCCGCCAAGCGCACCAATGGCCCCATGAAGACCGCCAAGAGCACGAGGGGCTGGAAGACGTCCTACCTCCTGACGCGGTCCTTGACCAACATGGCAGAGGCCAATATCGGCGCCGCGAAGGGCAGCATGCACAAGCGCAGCGACCTGGGGAAGCGCAACGAGAGCATGCGCACGAAGTCCCAGCTCTTCTACGAGAACACGCCTGGCTTGACCCCGATCCTGAATGCCATGGGGGAAATCACATAGTTTTCCCTCGACGCCTGCGACCCGTGGCAACTGTTCGGGGAAGGGAGCTGGCAGGTGATCCACAAGCAGCACTGGCCCTGCGGCTGCGAACGCTGCTCTCCATGGCGGCGCTAGGGCACGCCGCGACTCGGCAGGTGGCCTGCTCTCATATAAAGGGCCTGCATGCGCTCAGCACTTGATCAACGATCACACTCCCGCCTCGCATCCCCGTCGCGGAAACGAGAGCCGCCCTGCTTCGCAGCGACGTCGGCGAGGGAGGGTATCGGGGCCAAATCAAAGAGGGGGGGGGCGTAGTAGTAGGAGTAGGAGTAGGAGTAGTAGTAGTAGTAGTAGTAGTAGTAGTAGTAGTAGTAGTAGTAGTAGTAGTGGTAGTAGTAGTAGCAGCAGTAGTAGTAGTAGTAGTACCAGCAGCAGAAGCAGTAGTCGTTGTTGGTGGTATGTGTGCTGTTGTTGGTTTCAATGGTGGTGTCGTTGATGTCGTTGTTGTTGCAGTTCGCGGTGGTGGTGGTGGTGTTGCGGTTGTTGGCTGTTGTTGCAATTGCTGCTGGGTGTCGGTGCGCCGTCGCTGTTGTCGTAGACTCGCCCTCGCAACGGTTTCGTTTTCGTCGCCCCGTCGTCTCGGTCGTCGTCGCACTTGTTGTCGTTGCCCTCGTTGTCGCGGCGGTCGTCGGGGCGGCGGGGGGGGGGGGGGGGGCGTGGCCCTGTAATTCCAGGCGGGGCAAGCGGCGGAAACGGCGAAACCATGGGAATAACCGAGCTCTGCAGACGACCCAGAGCGATCTGCGCCCCCGGCGCTCACCGCAACAAAGGCTCCACGCGCGAGGACATCCCGAGCGAAACGGAAGGGGGGGGGCACGGAATACGAGAAGGAGGACGAGGAAGAGCGCGAGGGATAGAAACATGAGGGCCGCGATGAGAATGAGCGCGAGGATGGCGATGGGGGCGGGAGAGGCGGGCGAGGAGGAGGAGGACGAGGACACATAATATTTTATTTGCGTGGGGGGCGGGGGGGGGGGGGGGAGGGGGCTGGAGGAGGAGGGCGAGGAGGAGGAAGCAGTGGGGGATAAGGAGGACGTGCGCACGCGCACGGTCGTTGTGAGCGATACATCGTTGATGATGGCTGAAGAAACGAAAAGGCGCACTGCGCCGAGATAGGGCGCAAAAGACGCGCCCTTTCGCAAGATCAGCCGCGAACTAGAGCCGGATGCAAAGGCGCGCCGACCCTGCGGGCAAGCAAAAAGCCACGAACGGAAACTTTGGCGCTTCAGGAGGGCCCAGCGCAGATCCAACAAATCAGCGCGGAGCGCCACAATTCATGTTTATTGATTCTCTTTGTCGATTGATGTCGCGCGCCTGGTCGCGCGCGCTGTGGCCCCATCGGGAAAGCGCCGGTCACTCCGGGCTCGACCTGGCGACGGCGGTGCTGCTGATACTGCTGGAGCCGCGGGCGCCGCAGGCGCTGCGTCTCCCGCTCAGGCCGCGCGGGCCCGCAACGCGGTTGGCCCATCCCCCCCGCCAAACAGAGACCCGACGTACGCGGCCCGCAAAGTCGCCGGTTCCCCGGCGCAGTCGCCGAAGTCCAGCCCCTTGGAGGTTGGGCAAAACCGACGAGGGCAAGGAAGCACCCGCCCGGCTCGACCAATGGATCTGGCCAGCTGCCCGCCAAGAGCCGTCGGGCGCAGCGCTGGGAGCTGCTGCTGCTGATGCTGGAGATTGCGATTGCGGTTGCCGCGTAGCTGCCTGAGCTGGAGTCGGCCGGCCTCCACCCCAAGGGGCGGCGCTCCGCGCGGGGTCACCGTCGTCGGGCCCCAGAACAACAGGTTCGGCCTCCCCTGGCCATCCAGACCGAATGGGCACCCGGTGCTGATTGTTGAACGGCTGGCCCCGGCCCTCCGCGGCGCCCCGAGTGCGGGGGCGGTGGCGGGGCCGGCGTAGGCGGCGGCGGCGCCGCTGAGGCTGGCGCGCAGAGGAACAGGGCGTGCCCTTGCCGGCGCCGACGGGGGAAGTCGCGAACGAGGTGCTCCTCTGGGTCGCACTCGCGGCGCTTGAGACCCGCTAGGGCCCGGCGGTTTGCCTTGTCTGCCCGAGCCCAGACCGCCGGCCGGATGCTTGCCCTCGTTATTTCCAATTGCGCCTGCTCTCGCCCGAAGCTGGCGATGGTTTCGCGGATGTCCTTGTCGGGCGAGTTGGCCAGGAAAGCGAGGCGCCCTTGCGTTTGACGGCCCTCCTCGCGCGACGCGTCGGCTCGACGTTGAAGCGACGCCGTCGGGGCTCGGCTCGCTCGCGACCCCAAAAGAAGATGCGCGTCGCGCTGCCTTGCCACAACTTCGCGCAGTCGGCGTCGTCGGCAGAGACTGCTTCGCCGAATGGGCGGATGGTGTCAGAGTCGGCGCCATAATGGAAACCCGTCGCTGGACATGCCGCCCGCGGCGCTGCCGATGCGTCGGCACAACGGCTCATGGCGTTGCAAGTGGACTCGGCGCTGCCCCCTGAGCTGAAACATCCATGCCATCCCAGCTCGATCGGGCAACAACGCAATGCGCGCTCCGATCCTGACCGCGCATGGGCGCGCCCGCGAGAAACGCCTGGCGCCGGGGCGAAAGCGCGGCCGAGACGAGATTGCCCAGCGAGCCTTCGCTCGCATGTCCTAATCTACGGAACTGGCCCACCGCGCGCGTCATCTTTGGCGCGTCTGTCGGGCATGCCACGTCGCGGCGCTGCGGGGCCACGGCGGGCTGGGTGCGCGATGCGCCCGCCGCGCGCGGCAAGACGTAACTGAAGCCCTCGTAGCCGATCATGAGTTGACCGGCCTGCTGCGCCCTGTTGCGAAGATGTCGAACTCGGCGAAGAGGTCGTCGATGCGTTCACGCGGCAATTGATTGGGGCCCATCAGAGCCGACGCCGCACGCGCAGGCCCCCCCTTTCAAGCTGGCCACGCCGCTCGGCCAAGCTGCGCGCGAGGTCGGTCGTGGCCGGCACTGGGCCGCCGTCGATATGAGCGCTTTGGACGAGGACCGCCGACTGCCACTCGCCCACGCATTCGCGAGTCATGCCGGTCGGGCGCGACGAAGGGCACCCAACGATGGAAAGGCGCGCAAACCTGCTGCCCGGGCCCTCCGGCGCGCGTCGCGCGATGTCGCTGCCGCCGCCGCCCGCGTCTACGCAGGTGATGCAGTTGATGGCGGCGACCATGCCCACTCCGATGGCTTTCCACCCATGATGGAGCCCCCTCCAGGTGTCGACGAGGCGTGACAGCCCCGGTGCCCACCGACGGCGGTGTCGTGGCAGTGATCCTCGGAGCCATTGTGTATTTCTGTCCCTGGCATGCTCCTCCTCGCCAGCGGATGCTCGTTCCGTTCTGTCGCGCGATTGGGGCGCTGGCTGCGCTCAGAGCGCACAGCCACATAGCGGCACAAAGTCTCGTCGTGAGTCGAACTGTCACTCTCTGCAATCCCGTCATTGCCTGCGCGCACCCCCGGCTTCCACGACACATTTGCTGACCACCCGGGTCGCCTTGTCAACGCCGACGATGTGACCGTCGGATCGAACGACTCACTGCTTGACATGGTCGGCTACACCCACACGTGAATGCAATGAGGGCGATGCGTCCTTTGCCTTTTCCCCCCTTCGGGTTCCCGCGTCACAGTTGCGAATAGCCCGGGGCCCGCGAGCGAATGCCGCGAAGACGTGAAAACCCCGAGCGTCTCGAACACAGTTCGGGAGTACCCAAGGGGACAAGCTGGCGGGCGGGGTGCGCGGTCCTTGATGCTGATGTCCTGGTATCGTTAGTTGCGCTCGTTCCCCAAGGTGAAAACTGAACGACGGGGCGGCATCGGCGCCGCCAGCGGCGGTGATCACGCAATAAAACCTGAACACGGTGAAAACGGTCAGTGCGAGGTCGGCGCAGCTGGAAACATGACGCGTTGATACTAAACTTGTACTGTTTGAAACGGTTGCGTCGCAAAGCAGAATGGTGGCAACCTCGCCATCGAATCAGGGTTGCGGGAGGAAACCATCGCAGCCGTGGCAAAAGAGCAGAAGCCTGCTCCACCACCAACTAAAAGTAAGGGGTACACGGTTGAAAGCAATGTTATAGGGTGCACAACATCTAACGAGGGTGTGAATAACACGCGTGTCAGTCGGGCACGTCAGGTTTACCTCGACGTGCCCCAGAGCAAAACGACTGCGGCAAAGGATACGATTTGAAGTCTCAGAAGTACCACGCAATGTGTGGCACTTTCCCTCGAGGGTGCAATCTGCACGATATGCCGTTCAAGTGGGGGAAGAGGATATCTAGGAGGAAGAGGCGGACGACGACGACGACGACGATGACGACAACGACGACGGTGTCGCCGCCGCGGGCTCCCGCGCGCCGAAGCGGGAGCGCCAGGGCGCCACAGCGGGGGGACAGCCGCGGAACACCCCCCCAGGAACCCCGAAACGCATGAGCGTGAGCTTCAGGGCTTCTGGGAATCTTCAATAAAAAACGGAACCTGTATCGAGCGGAAGCGTCATTGTTTACAGGGGGGGCCGTCTGCGACGCCGAGGCGGGAGCGCGGGTCCCGAGCTAAAAAAACAATGGAGTCTCGAGCGGTAGCGCCAGTTTTGTTGGAAAACCGGTTTTCGGCGGCGAGCAAAAGCTCCGGTCCCAACTAGAAAATGAGGAAGTATCGAGCGGGAGTGCTGTTGTTGCTGTTGAAAGTTAATTACTAACCACTTACTATTGTTGGACACCTTAAAGGCGCTTTGGCGCTCTCGCCGAGGCGCCGGCTACATTTTCATTGAAAATGAGGCTCACGCTCGAGCGGCTTGGGGGACCGCCCAAACTGGCCCCCCAACAACAACAACGCTCCCGCTCGAGACTTCTTCTTTTTTACTCAGGGCTAGTATTCTTGCTCGCTGCCGAAAGCCGCCGTCCTAACAAAATCAGCGCTCCCGCTCGAGACTTCCTCCCGTTTTACCTTGGACTGACGCGCTAGTCTTTCCCTCATCGGCGCCGC